CCTGTGTGTTTTTGCGGACGATGTGGAGGAGAATATTTCTCACGTTCATTCTTGGTACCTGATTTGGGCTGATCTATTTGGCCTGATGGAAGATTCTGCTTTGATTTCCCCTCATTCTCTGGTCCATGGAATTGACGGCTGCTCTTCTGCTTCATGCAACCATGAGAGCTTTTGAGGCAGCACTTGTTTTTCCCTGCTTAACTGTGGCACTGAAAGTGCAGCTCTTTCGAATTACTGTTCTTTTATTAGCTTCTGTTCTAGTTTTTCACTTTGGTCAGCCACATTCTGTAGCTATTATAGAATGTTGGTAATTCCTCTGTATTTTTTCTTCTTGTTTCTCCTTTTTGTTGGACTATATATTTGCATTTAATTTTCAATAAAACGGGCTATGCCCCAACATTTCCCCCCAAAAAAAAAAGTGTTTTGGATTATTAGTGCTTGAAATAAAAGATAATTAGAGGAATTATGTAAGCACCGATTATAATCTTGTTCATCAAGGAAAATGTAGAAGATCTACTTTATTTGGGTAGAACTGTGGATGAAGATGGGGCAAAAGAAAATTTTCAATTTTTTAGTTTATGATGATGTGATGATTACAACTTATATGTTATATATCATAAAAAAAATTATCTTGATCGGGCATGAATCTCGAGGCAAAATCAACCCATAAACTTCAAAAATTAAATCCTGGATCATCTGAACTCCGATTTCAGCAAACTTATAGTCAAACTAAGCGTCTCGAAAATACAAACCCAACGACACCAAATTCGACTCAATCCAAGCCCAAATGAGACTAAATCAAGGACCCGAAGCGCTGTTGGAAGTTTGTACCACAATTTGAGTTACCAAACGGTTTCCGAATTTGATGAGCTTATAGTCAAATCGAGCGGCTCGACGAGACGAATCCAACGGGCCCAAGATCGCCGAATTCTGACTTTATTAAGACCTTCAAATGTCTGACAAACGGTGCATGATCAAGGGATTTAATATCAGTCGTCCATTCGACCACTCCCTATTTTGCCCCTGATCTCACACCTATTTACAAGCTATGCCACTCAATGAAATCTATAACTAGACCCCTCATTTCTCATGAGAGGGCACCCAAGCAAAAAGAAGAGAAGAAAAAGAGAAGAAGAAGACAAGGATATGAGGGAATAACTCCTCCTCAACCATCGTCAGAGTTCTGCCCGACGCCTGAATTCTGCCAGACTTCCGAACGACGCCGGAGTTCTGTCTGACGCTCAAGTAAAGTCAAAGTTCTGCCTGACGCCAGAATTCTGCTCAATCTCCAAGTGACGTCGAACTCTGTCCGACGTTGTAATTGGATCTCAAATCCGGAAGTGAAGCATTGTAAACTGTTTGTCCTAAATTTTAAGGACAAATCAACCTTTTGTACTTCAAACAAATATTAGTGGAATTATTTCAACTGGGCGTGGCCCCATGGTTTTTCCACTTTTCAGGGTTTTCCACATAAAAATCCTGGTGTTTATATTTATTTCATGTTTGTGTGCTAGGTATATCCGTACAACGCTGAGATGGGAATTTTCTAATTATATCGCTGCGTATATTTTAGTCCTCAACAATATGAAATTTGATAATTGATATTTTACCGCTAATATTATTCAAACTAAAAGAAAAATTAAAAACTCTAATATGGTTTAAAAATAACTTTCAAATACAGGTCGATGTGATTTCTTAGCAAAGTTCATAAAGTGTCATCGTATCAAAATCATAAGGGTGTCTATTAATGTAACACCAAGGACAATATGTTTGGGTCTCATTTGGAGGCTCGTTCATTTTGCTCCTTTGAGTAGACCATATAATCATCATTTTTTCTTCAATGAAATATATGTGAACATAGAAGTAATTTTAATATATAAAATTGTATGAAGATAGTGTGCAGGCAATTAAATAAATCACGACATACACATAAGAACTACCAATTTTAATGTACAAACCCATTAAAAATATATTATATGAGATAATTCAATTAAACAAGTTTTAGGAGAAATCAGGAGGTCATAATGTAAAGACTTCAATCTCCTATGATGATGATTGAAGTTATTGTGAATGCTGATGTTGATAATCAATGGCAAGCAGCTAATGACAATTGATGACAAATGTCAAGAGTAGGCAAGGGCAACGGGCAACTATGCACATCAAATGATAGATTTGGAGAATAATGAGTTTCTATGTTCGTTGACTAGCAACTAAGGATTTCAAAATTAACTTTCAAAGGTTTTACACCTTTGTATACTTTCCAAATAAAATGTATTATGGTCTTTTTTTATTTTTTATTTTTTATTAGCCCATCTAAATTAAGGTTAATAGCGAGTTAAATTCAAGTATTTTGCTTAGCTTTAACTCCAACTTATCAAATTTAACTCGACCCAAAATAAATTAATTTAAGTACATCTAGCTTGACTCGAAATGACTTTATTTTAAGTCCATTCATAATCAATTTAAAGTTGACTTGCAATATATATATATATATATATATATAAAGTTAAAGAGGGATTAAATATGTATTATCTTGAAAGAGCTATAAAGCATTAACCAAATAGATTAAAAATACATTTTTATTAGTATTATATTAGTATTATTAATTATAGATAATATACAATATTCTAATAGTTTAATCTAGTTAACTTTCAAGTGAACTACAATTGACTTGAAATTGATTCAAGTCAAATATCCTATTTCAAAACTCATTATAAATATGTTTAAATAAATTTTAATTCCACTTAATAGTCAAATATTTAAAGTACTAAATGCTTATATCATCCCTAATCTAAAAAATATATAGAAAAATTGGACTATATATGTCTTATAATACATATAATTATCAAATATCCTTGATAGTTATTTATTTGAAAAAAAGAAATGTGTTTGAAAATTTATTTTTATATCAATACACCCCAATTATATAAAAATATAAGTCATAACTTCATAGTCATGACTCACTCAAACCTCCAAACATGAGAGATGCTCAAATTTCCTTTTTTCCAACACCATATATGTCAATGGTGATCTCATAGCTTGTGTGATTACTATATGATTAAACTCCATAGTCACAATCACTACAATCCAACAATAATCTATTGAGTATTCATGAGTAGTGTGTTGTATTTTTGGTTATTTAGTTTTAAATGCATTTATCATTGGAAGTTTTATGTTATGATATGAAGGAGAACACATATATATAGCCCCAGATTAAAAAAAGAACAAGATCAAATCCTATATTCAATGCTATATCCTTTTTCAAATAAGGTTTGAAGATTTGTTTTAAGTCAAGAACTTAACTATTAGATTTGAAATCATGTTCAAATAATATACAAACTTATAATAGGAGTTTCAAATAATATTCACAACTTTTTTACACACAACCCTAAAATCACATTAAGCCTCACATTACCTATTGCAAAATGATAAAATCATTTTCAAACATTGTGTAAACCATATCAAATAAGGTTCAAATCCTTCTTTTATTCTCATTATTTTATATGAAATTGATTCATTAAAGTTGGTTTGCTATATATTTTGATTTCCATTATATTAATACCTATGGAGAGTCATTACATAGCTCAGATCACATATAAAACTAAGGTGTGATGGAAAGATTTATTAAATAGTTTTAGACTTATGATCTTGTCCAAAGGGTAGAGGAATCCCCTTTTAAGCAACTTTTTAACATTCTTAAGCTATAAATTTTACTGAGATGCTTGCATTGATCAAACATGAGGAGGCATTCTTTGTGTGTCCATGAGAAAGGCTATCATAAGAGTGGGTGTTAAAAAGGAAAAATAACATTGTATTGCATTATTGGATAAATGCATTGAAAAAAGTATGCAGTATACTATAATTAGATTTTTTTTCATATCATTGCTATATTAGCTTATAAAATCATCCAAAAAGTAAGGATAATCTATATGTAGTTTATTGGAGAGAGAGAGAGAGAGAGAGAGAGCGAGAGCACAAAGGATGTATGAATATAACTACTTTCATTCCCACACAAACTTCTAAAATTTTGAAAACTTCATTTTGCAAGTGCTTTCTTGGATGACCCAATTTTTTCGCATTATTTGATCATAAACATTAATATTTCTCATCCAAAGCTCTTTGAAAGTGAGGGAGCTAACATGTATATTATTTGGAAGTCTAACATAAGCAAGTCATTACAAAATTTAATAAGAATTTATGTAGTACTCACACATATAGTTTGATGAGTGTTTTATATCTTATGTTTAATGAACATTATAGAGTTTGATGAGTGTTTTATATCTTATGTTTATTGAACATTATAGAGTGTATGCTATATAACACATTATTTACTTGACTTCAAAAGAATAGTGAAACATGTAGATATGTCTGTAAATCCATTTATAGATAACGATGCACATTCAATTATACTATGTTATAGTTGTTCCATTAAATTGCATCATATCAAAATTATAGCCTATTGTGATAGCATTATGCTATATTTAAGTTATAATTTAATGTGTTAAATCTTATTTAAACATTATCCAAATCTTAATTAAATTTATTTGAACCTTATAAGAATATAATTGAAATATTGTTTGAATGTATTCTAGGCCTACTAAATTTTATTTTCAAAACTCTTTCGATCACATTCGGAGCTGGTTTGAATCAAGTTCAAATTAATTTCATTCGAAATACATTTAAATAAGAAGTTTGCAAACACAAGTAAAGATAATTATGTGAAATAAAAAAATATATATTTTTGAAGAAAATAAACGAAGTCAAATAACCTTAAAATATATCATACTTTGTTTTTTAAGATTTTATTTGAAAGAGGTTTTTTTATTATTTTATGAAGTAATTTTTTTGAATTTAAAATTTTATACTGAAAAAATTACTTGCTAAAATAATAAAAAAAGCTCTCTGAAATGAAGTTTAAGTTGGTTTTTATTATTCTTATTTTTAAGTTGTCACCCTTAATAAATCGGACGTTCGGGGGACAAAAAATATCTACCTCGCCCCTCTACTTAGGTTATATATACGATCGGGCAGCAACCTCCTTTGTTCTAGAGCAGGCGAGAGATGGCCAAAGCTTTGGTGGCGGCTCGGTTGGGGTTTCGACGGCTCTTCTCCATCTCAGCCTTCACTCCCCCTCCTGCTGCTGCCCCTCCCCCGAAGGCTGACCCTTCGACGAACCTCTTCGTGTCAGGCATGTGTCGATCTCTTCCTTTGCGGTGTTATATGCTGACTCTTCTATGCTTTGTTAGGGTTTCCTAGCATGTGTGAGTGCCAGGGCGCTATGATTCACGAAAAATATCTTTTTGATATTTCTGTAGCTACTCCTGCCATGCTTTCTCTCGAACTTATCTGTTCTTTATTTTTTATTAGTCATCTCCAATGTTATCTCTCTTCATGATCAATTCTCACGAATCTAGGCTATTCATTTTGTGATTCTCTTTAGTTTTGAGGGTAGAGAGTTGGCGTGTGGCTGCTTTTCTAATGGTTCATACACTAAATCTATGAAACGCATGTGATTTGATTAGTAAAGCTGCTGCTTTTGTGATTTAGTAAGTCTGCTCATTCCAAATGGGAATAAGAACTAGGAAGGTCGTGATGGCTATAAGTTTTCTAGGTGTAGATTTGTAAGAATTTCTTTTAACAGTTGGAAAGCTACCAGGTCTCTTGATTTATGCATTTTTGCTATCCCAGCAGTGTTTTATGTTAGAGTTGCGACACTATTGCTGATTAAATGATGATTTTAAGATTATGAATAACTTCGCTTATTAAATTATGATTTTTTTATGGGTTATCATTGTATGATAAGAACGAATGAAGCATTTGCTGTTATGTCTCTTAGTTAGTTTTTTTTTTTTTTTCAATTATCATTTTTTTATCATGCTAATATAAATGTCAAAATAGTGAGAAAATATTGCTGGATATCAGAGCTTCATTACTATTGGAAACATGTTCTACTTTGTAAGAGGGACATGAATACATCTATGCAGCTGTATTAAGCCTTTATTTGTTTGAAGGATAAATGATTTAGTAATACTTGCATATGTACCATTGAATTTTTCTTCATTTATAAAGCTAACATTCACACATTCATGATTTAAATATTTACAAAATGAATATTCATGCATTCAATATAAACTATCTATCCTATGAATTTCTGCGTGACTCAATCAAATCATAACATTTTTTGCAAATCATTGAGTAAAAAAGTTTGTAGTTTTGTTATGTTCTTCAAGATTTGGATGATGGTGGTATAAGTAGAAGTATTTGGGTGATAGTTTTGTAAAATGGAAGATCCAAGCATTACACATGTAAGTGCACCTTAATTTTATTAAGAATGCAGTGAATTGAGCGAATGAGTTTGGTAACCTCTACTTGGTATTATTTCATCCAAGAATTTTTGTTGATATTTTCCTGTCCAATTAATATATATTTTTTTTGTTTGGTATTGTAGGCTCCTCGAGCAACTTGTTTAATTTTCTATTTGAAATTATATGATGTTCCTACTTTATCATTCTAAAAGCCATGCAAGAAAATCCATTTCTGTAGAGTTTTGGTAGAAATGTAAAATAAATACAATATATAGGTTTTCATAAATTAATGAATGTGGATAACTTCCCTAATCTTAGCCCTTGTTGTGGTATTATGTAAGTTGTAGCCTTTAGGCATGTAGCCTGTTCTAAGATTTGAAACCTCAAATACTATTATTTCTGATGGAAAAATGAAATTTAATTCAATATTATGTGCTATTTTGAAGCCATAGGCGGAGGCAATTAAACCTTTATGCTAAGATCTGTTGCAAGTAGATTGCTAACAAAGTTTTTTGGGGATGTTATGTTTATGCATGCTGCTTTAGACCTTTGTCCTAGATAATTTGAACTGACATGGACATGACCGCAAGAATAAAAAATGATTTTTCTAGTAAGTAGAAACTTGAAAAAAAAATACAGGATAACAGAGCTTATATTCCACCTTGTCGAAGTAGCTTATGCAAATATTATAACTTAATTCAAGAAAGTTTGAAGAAGTAACATGGATAATAGTTACAGAATTGTAACCCTGAAGTACAATGAAAGTAATCAAAAGGAAGTACAATGCAAGTAATCAAAAAGAATAATTTCTCTAGGGTAAAATAGTAACAAAGAAAAAAGTTAGGAGTTGTTAATATCCAAGGCATGTTTTTAGAAGCAAATTACCATTTAAAGTTGAACCAAATTTAAAATTGAGAATATTGTTATTAAAAATTGATAAGTCTAGAAATGTATTATGTATAAGAAAATTCTTTTGAAGTGGGGGATGCAAAAATTATTTAGGTAAAAAACACTTTAATGAATGAACAAGTAAATATTGTAATATAGACAATAATTATGAAGAAACTCAAAGTTTGGCAAAAAAATGGTAGTATCCAAAGTTAAAATTTTTCGTGATTTGATAATGTGGTTTAGGTAGGAGTGTAAGTGATCCGAGTTGGCTTGTGAGCTGGCTCGAGCTCGACTCGTTAACGAGCTCATGATTCGAGATTATTGAGCTATGAGTTCAAGATCAGGCTGGCTCAACTTGAAAGCTCGTTAAGCTAATCGATTAAATTAAAATATATTTAACATTTAGTTAAAATTAGAATTTTATAATATCCTTTAATTTTTTTAAATTAGTTCTATATTAAAATAAAAAATCTTAAAAAATTAAAAATTCTAAATTAAAATTAATAAATCGAGCTCAACAATCAAGTCAAGCTCGAGCTTGAGCCTATAAAATTCTTAGCAAGTCGAGCTGGAGCTTGGTAAACGAGCTCTAGTGGAGCTCGAGCTCAGTAAAAACTAAACAAGCTTGGCTCGATTGGGTATATTCTTGACTCAACTCGTTTACATCTTTGTGTTTAGCTATTATGGAGAGAAAGGTGATGTATTCTATAGCAAAGAGATCTATCAATTTTAATCATGTTGAATGCATTGGAAGTGAGCATAGAAGTTTTAGTGAAATATGTTGACATCAAGGAAAGATAACATTGCAAGTTGGAGAATTATTAAATGGGATATTTAAAGTTAGAAATTCTTGAAGGACAAAATTGATTTAATCATAAAACATACTATAAATTGATAAAAAAATTTAAGTTGAGTTATCTTTGAAAAATCTGCTTAATAATAAAGGTTTAGGTCCAAATGAGATACCCAGTAGAAAGTTATGAGAGATTTTATAGAATTTTGGTTAACAAATTTTTAAAAAAGCTCAGACAAAGAACCAAATAAATGGAGATGGTATTTTGGTAACAGTTTTTAAGAATAAAAGGAGATGTATAATATTGTGGTAAATACAATGGAATTTATAAAAAAAGTGGTTAAAAGGCCTGATTTGATATTCCTCCATTGATACTTATACGCTATGTTATATAGAAAAATAATTGGAAACTATGTAATCTTACAACAACAACATCAAGCCTTTATCCCACTACGTGGGGTCAGCTACATGAATCCTTTTTTCTCCATTGTGTCTTATTAAAAGTCAAATTCTCGTTAAATCTAATAAAGAAAGATCATTTCTAATATTTTATAACAAAGTCTTTTTAGGTATGCATCTACCTTTCTTAACATAAGTCAAATTTAATACCTCTACTTTCCTACCGGGTCATCGGAAGGCCGCCATTTTATATGACCAAACCATCTAAAGCGACTCTCTCTAATCTTATTTTCTACTGGAGCTACTCCAGCCTTTTTATGTATATGCTCATTTCGTATCTTTTGACCTCATTTTTGTATGAGGTCACTTTTGACCCCTTTTTGAGCTTTGGATTCTAGATCCCAGGATCTTCCTACTCCCCAGATCTTAGGCTCAATCTAGATCTTGATTCATTCTGAACTCAAAATCTTTGGGTTAAGGACGCAGGTCCTGAAGCCCTTTCTAGATGATTCTTCCATCACCTTAAAACCCAGTCAATTGATATCTGATTTAGGGTCTATCAAGCACAGGTTGATAAGACATGTATCTGAGGTCAACCCTCCAAGTTTGAGCTCAATCCGATGTTTCTAAGCCCAAAAACTAAACTCAGTTCTAAATATTGTAAAACATTCAAATATTTACGGCCTGTGCCATTGGACCCTCCACCTTGTGGAAATTGACCTTGGAACCTTTCCAAAACCCTTTTATCATGTCCATGACCACCTCCCCCATGACATATTGACCAGCAACCTAGACTTTCCTAGACTTAATTTGACCCAGGTTTGACTAGAGGTCAAAAAAGACCAAAATACCATTTAAGGAGATTTTTAGTCTTTTCCCCAAATTTCAACATGTCCAACTCATATCAAACTCCAAATGATCAATGGATCCTAAATGACTTTAGGAACACATTAAACCCAAACTTACTAGTTGGTTTAACCTGGTTGACTAAAATACACTTAATGGATTTAAACATCTATTTTCAACCCAAATGACCTACCCAATGCATGAGATCACTTTCATTGATCTCAAAACACTCATTGAACTTTGTTTGATCCAAACTTAACTCATGGTTTGACCAGGTTGACCAAGTCAACAATGGTTGACCAAATCAACCCTTAACCTACACACTTGTCAAATTCAATCATTCAACCCTTCAAAATTATTTAATTGGACACCCTTCACATGTCCAAAGACTTTCAAGTCAATCCTCTTGGGTTGACTTGGTCAACCCATTTGGAGAGGTCAAAACTCTCTCCAACTTCATGTATTTGTTCAAAGCTTCAACCCCTTGATTCCAAACTCCTTAGGATAATTTCCTACAGCTCCGTTTACCTTCTCCAAGTCTATCCCAGTCATCATTGACTGGTTAATAGGTCAATGAGTCAACAAACGTAGTTCAAGCCCATGGAAAGAGGCCAAATCAAGGCCACATCATCAAGCCACCTTGGCAATCCATGGCTTAGTCTAAAACCTGCTGGATAGTGACTATTTCCTTCCATAAAAGACCTCAAGCTAGCCCCCAAAATCAAACCAAACATTGGTTCATCCAAATGGGGAAAAAGGTGTGGTCCCCTTTCCCATAGACCAAGAAAGGTCACACTCACCACCAACCCTATCCCCTGGCTTTAGGCAGCTTAGGGGACACATGTCATGCATCTAAGACTCCCTTAATTGAATCAAAGCCATCCATTCAAAATCAAGGGATTTAGGAGAGGGGAAACTTGACATAAGAGAGCATTCCCTCTCATATCATCTAAG